TGTCTGATTAAATCTCTCACAAACTCCATTCTGTTCTGGAGTATATACATCTGTAAATTCGTGCTTTACACCATTTTTATTACAATATGACCTGAATTGATTCATTATCATATTCTCGCCCATTGTCAGTCCTAAAGTATTTCAACTTAAGGTTCAAAGATCTTTCCGCACGTGCTATATGCCTTTCAAATACTTCAAACACCTGACTTTTCTCTACAATGGGGTACACTACCACATAACGAGAATATTCGTCAATAAAGGAAATGAAATAATGTTCACTATTCCTACCTGGAATGTTAATAGGTCCCCATATATCAGAAAAAAAAAACCCTTTCAAGCAGCCTCTTTACTTGAATACCTTCTAAGGGTCTATAGGAGATTCGTCTTTGCTTATTGATTTGGCAGTGTTCACAAAACAAATTAGGTGAGTGCTTTAACACAGGAAGACCTCGAACTGAATGTCTCTTACTAGTCCTGATAATAGCACCATAATTTATATGACCAAACTGACCATGCCATAATTCACTATTGTTATGCTGAACTGTGGATGCCTCAAATTTTACAGATTTGCCCCCCCTTTTTCACTATTTTCGGGAATACATGATAGTTACTTCCTATCATCAACTTAGCCTTGTACAAAGTTTCATTTTCATCATCAGTAACTTTAATTTGCCCATTTTTACCATAAAATCTTGCTCCATTGATATCCACCTTAGGTCCAGATATTAAATTTCGTCTCAGTTCAGGTGAGTATAAAACATCTTTAAAGCAAAATAACCGTATCCCCAAATTTCATTTTAACAGTACCCTTCCCATGAATTGGAAAAGTTACCCCATCAATAGCTACTAGCATATTCTCATTTTTCACAGGAGAAAAAGTATCGTAAACAATTCACGATTTTTACAAAAATGATGAGATGCAGCAGTATCAAAAATCCAACTATCATCATTTTCCTCCAAATTGTTAACATTAGGCTTGAGCTATAAAATGGGACTGAGCATGGGAATTATTTTTACCTTTACTCAACTTGGGTTTATTCTTACACTTAGGAGATGTTTTATTACTACTAGATACAGCTGAGGAAACAGAAGAAGCAGGTGAGGGTGATCTGGAAAAAATTACCTCTCATTCTACAGTATTTTTGAATATGACCTGGACGGCCACATTTATAACACTTGAGCCCTTTAATCTGCTTAAATTTGGGTTTCACAGTGAGTACTTTGGAACTTCTATAGTCTTATTGGAATTTTCCCTATCTATCTCTCTTAAATTAAGACGCGTTTCCTCTGCTAGTATTTTTTCAAGTTCAACATTTTTAAATATGAACTTTTCATCTGGCCACCTCAAAACATTCTGAACTACTTGATCATATTTATCTGGAAGGAACCTAAGAAACTGAAAACATATGTATACATCTCTTACAGCCTGATTAATATCAGCTAACTGTTCAGTTACGCGTTTTAATCTAGAAGAAAAGAAACTAATACTTTCATTTGGCTTAATTTTACAATTTAAGAACTCTGAAAACAAGGACATATGTCTAGATCGATAATCTGGCTGGAAGTATTTGGCAAGCGTATTCCATGCCACTACCGGGTCATCAATTTCACTTATCAAGTTTCTATATTCAGGGCTTACATTCATATAAATTAAAGATAATGCCAATCGACTTCTATTTTGATAGTCGGCAATAATTTCTTTTGTAATACCCTTAACATCATTTAAATCAGGACATTTTTCAATACCTTTGACCAAAAGCCATGCATTTTTTTCATTTAAAACAAACTTCATATCTTTAGACCATGTAAAGTAATTACATGCCTCAAGTTTAGCAATATTATGCATAACATTAACAGTAGCCATATTTGAATTTCAACAAAAACCGCCCTCCAATCTCTTTAAGTCCTAAATTAACTTTAAACTTCAAAAGTCTGCACTAAAGATAACTCAGGGGCTGTGGCCCATAACCAAAAAGATGCTAAAGCAAAGTTTAAAGTTTATGAAATTAAACATTTACCAGTAGTAACAATAAAAGCTCCCTGAGATACTATGTTGTGCAGACATTGAAGACAATAAAGAAGTTTCAAACTTAACCAATTTATTAACAATACAAAAAATAAAAAACACAAAAAATTTAAATTTAAACAATATCAGAGTCCTAGGAAAAAAAAATAATATAACCATCATTCATCAAATAATATTTTTACCTGGTCTCCAAAAATACTGGCATTCAATACAAACAAAATGTCCTAAACAGTAATTATGTGGTCTCAAATGAAATTGGCTACACATTCAATAAGTCCATGATCAATGGTCAAGAAAGCACCTGAAATTTAAATTAAGTTCTTGAAAGCACTTGAATCCGGCCTAACTCCTTACATTAGTTGAACACGAGGAATCGCCGCTAACTTATTTTAAATGCCACCTTCATGAAGAACATGGATGCCGCCCACGGCAGTCACTCACACTGTAGCCTCTGGAACCAAGGAACTTATTCAGGAGCTGTCATATTGTGGACATGAACCAAGGAACTTATTCAGGAACAGTCATCTTGTGGACAGGAACCGAGGAACTTATTCACCGCACTGCACGCATCCTTCAAAAGGGGCTGGAAACCGCACACCCAAGTGCCAGGAAAGCAGGAACTAGAAGGGCTGAGCCAGAGCAACGCGAGATACTTATACCAGATGTAGGCATGACGTCATCTCGCGGCAACCAATCAGCTATCGGGACGATTCGGCTTTCCAGATGATGTTACATCAATTTCGTTTTTGCATCTTAATTAGGTTGAAACAGTCCATTCTCAACGCAAACAGTGGCAGTAAGAAAAAGAAGTAGGAGTAACTACTATATTACATTAAAATAAGAACAGCCTAATAAATAAGAATAGCCTAATAATTTCAAGGAGGAGAGATGATGCAGTAAAAGGGTTACAATAAGTCATATTTTCCAACACATAAGACTCATATTGAACGTTTCCATCTGGCACATGAAATTTGTCTTTTTTTATGTTCATGGGGAGGGGAGGGGGAAGGGTTCATTTTGGCTTTGGTATGGATCATTCATTTCCCATTCATATTTATTTTATTCGCATTTCGTCCCAAAATATTTAGAAAATATTTTAAATTTAAATAAAACTTTTATGCAATTTCTGTTTTTTTTATAGCAAAGTATATTTACATTAAATTTAAATCATACAAAATAATTTATAAAATCACAATACTAGCTTGGGAAGAAAGTGTGTTGAGGTCAGAGAAAAATCTCTAGAAAAGAAAGAACTTTTTACTGGGCAGGTATATGTATTGTTTAGTAATAAAATAACTCTGTGGTTTCAAAGCCCCTTATTTATATATGTTAAAAATAAACTTTCCTATTTGAAAAGAAGCAAACGCCATTGTGAAGAGCAGTGGTTTCAAGGCGTGACCAACGAGCCTCTAGAGGATTGTGAGCATTGTGACACAATGCTCTAGTGGCTCAGTGGTCGTGTCCTGAAACCACAAAGCAAATGCCATAAATATAGATAGGTTTTTTTATATATGCAGTTTAATTATAATTATTGCTATTTTTTATTGTTTATGATAGAAATCATGATGTGCGATGAATAAACTTTTCAAATTTAAAGATGTTTTTATTAATAAAAGGAAGTTATTTTGTCTCATTGAAAATGAATTTTTAAAGCCATCCGATTTAAAATACTCAGACCTAAAACATGTATAATTCTGCAGTCATTTTGTATTATTTAGCGGAAAAAAATAAGTAATTGATTTTTAACTCAAAAATTTCAGAGAGAAGTGGAGAAAAAAATTCGAAAATTGGTGATTTCAGTGTGCGACCACCACACGTCAAAGGGTTAAATAAGAGGAGAATAAATGAGCAGGATTATCCATAGTATATTTCTTTTAGTTACAAACTGTATAAATTTGTAGCTTGAAAGCTTGTGTGAATGCCATAGAAACAAAACAAATATTTCTCAGTTTGTTTCAATCAAAAAGTATAATTAACTCATGCATGATAGTAAAAGGACTTTTTTTCTTCCTATAAAGAATAGATTGTGCTTTGAAAAATGGGAAATGAGGAACAGGTAGTATGAAATTATATTATATCCAAACAATGTCACTCTTTTTCATAGTAAATTTGACTTCGCGAGCTTTCTGAATGAAGATAAAATATCTTCTTCATTTTAATTCCACAAAATGTTTTCGATAAAATTTAGAGATAATTAAACTTTGAACAATTAATAAATAAGCTTAGTATTAGTCTGTACTGAGAAATAGTTGAATTGATTGTTCCTTATTTTCCCCTTCAGGTAGAAAATAGCATGATATAATCATGTATGAACACCAGCAGTATTCCAAACATTTTGAGTGAAATTTTTATTTTCATTTATTCTTCTAATATCTGTATCAACAGTACCAGTGGGACAACTTTTTGCCACCACTTGGATAAATCAGCAGTTAAATAATATAATATTATTATCTAAGTATATTGTATTCTAATGCAGTGTTCATTAACCAAGCAAAACTAAATCATGGGTATGATATAAACTGTGTAAGAATGTTATTTAATTTTAAAATTCTGTAAAGATTTCCACTTCAGTCCTCAGAATTGAACGTAAGAAGAATTGAATTGAATGTAAGTAAAATCTGAGGGGCTACATTCTCTCTTATTCCTGCAAAGCATGCTGGATTCCTTGGAACTTGCTGAAACATTACTTTTTTTTTCCTAATACATTTTTGTGTTTGTTTGTGTGTGTGTGTGCTAGATTTATAAGAGAATTTTTAGAAGGTCCCTTAAGTCTACCATACATTACAACATTGTATTAGCATGAAACATATACCATGATGTGAACTCTGACTTTAAAATCTCTTTTTCAACTGATCAGAACTTATTACTATTGATTTTCTAAACAATTTTTGTTTTTTTATGCATTGGAAAAGTATTGAAATTTTTTGTAATACTCTCAAAAACCTAATTCAAATTTCACAAACACTGTTTTTAGGTCACAAGGTCTCCAAAATCACCCACATCAGGACGCCATAGTCATGATAAAGAGAACCATCGTTCTGTTTCTTTCCCTGCTCCAGGATTCCACAATCGGGCATTAACACATCAGACATCTGCACCAGCACTGCCAGCAAACCAAGAGCCGCACATATTTTCCTTATCACCAGAATCAGATGATTCAAAGCATAGTGCAACATTATTGCATTGTCATGAATCACGAGACCAAAATCAAAGTGGCCATTCACCTGATATGCAAAAACAGTCAATATCAACTTCTCTAGAAAATTTAGTAAAACATATGAACCCTCGTACAACTACTTGGGTATGTAAAAATATTAGATACTTTTTTATTATACTGACCATCACATAAGCTTTAGATGATTGAATGGAAGAGTCAAGTAAATTGCATGTTACAAATTTGGAGATTAAAGTTTTCAGTTTTGGTGTCTAAGTATAGGTGGCTGCTTTAATAAAGAAGTATCATATATTATATATATATATAATTTTAAATTGATCTGAAAATATATGTATAATAAAAAAGAATTTACCACCTTAGTAGAAGTCACCTAATTTTTAGAATGTGCCAAACTCTGGGAACCATGCAATCTTTCAGTAAAGCAATGGCACTATTTTTGCATGTGTTCTTTTTGCTATATTTCAAGTTCCAACAATTTTTTAATATAAATCGTGATATTTTTGTCTTAAACATAATTTTAAAATATGGACTTTCGAGATTTTCCAGCCATGGAAGAAAGTGCAGTAACATTTCTGTAGGAATACAGAATTTTACTGCAAATTCTCTAAAGGGAACAATGAAGAAGTGCATTTACTAGAAAACCAGTGTTGCCGAGGTTTGCATAATGCCAGCTCTCTGCAATCTCTGCTAATTTTTTTTTTTAGTCTGAAACAAATCAATGTGTTTTTGGAGAGAAGAATATTGTAAAAGAAATTGCAGAAAGATTTGGAGACGAATATGTCTTAGTTCTTAATGCATCGCTTAATCCTTATTTAATTATTAAAATATGTATTTAAAATTGCTAAAGTATGTTCATAATATTTGCAACTTAGGAAAAAATATTGATAATTTGGGAATATTTTAAAAAAAAGTTTCAAAAGCTGCCAACTTGAACCCGATAAGTAACCTTATACCTTCTCATCTGTAAATAATCATCAAATTGCACCAGGGTGGTTGAATTGCTATGTAAGTACCAATAATTTTACTTTTTAGTTACGCATTATTCATAATAACATATATTAAATTTATCTATTTAATCTCAGTGCATAAAATGATAAGATGATGTGTACTAAAACTTTTGTTAGAAAATTTAATGTAAATACAAATGACACATTTATGAGCAGAATAAAAGTTATCTAAGTAGACTATATTTGTTCTATTTCTACATTGTGAAATATTAAAATCCTGAAAAGCTAGTAAATGTTAATTTAAATAATTATTTTATAAGCAGAAGCAAGTTACTCATTGATATATATAGCAACCAAAACTGAAACTTAAAAGAAAAATTATTTTGTAACATTAACTTTACATGATGTGATATATTTTTGTTTGCGATATTAATATTTTCCTTTTTTTTTAGCCTCAACCTACTCATACACGACAAAGTTCTAGCCCAGAAACTTTAATACATGGACTTGAATCCTTTAAGTGCCAAAAAAGCAATGGATGCACAATACCTAGGTCAGATTCTTTGCATAGGTCACCAAGTGCTGTATCACCTTCTTATAGTGGTTACAAAAACATCTCATCAGAGTCAGATTCAAGAAATTCCCATCCAGCTAATACATCTCGTGTAAGTTAATCATAAAACTAATTCTTATATCAGTTTATGGTTTAAGTAATTAACTATAAAATGTATTTTATCATTAACATTGTGGAATATTAAAACCCTGAAAAACTTTGATTATATAAGTGTTGTCAATAATTAAAAAAAATTCAGTATCTATTCTTTCTTAAAAAGCTTTGTAGGATTAAAAAGACATGGATTAGCACAAGATCTGTGTGGTATTTGAAAAGCTGTGGAAACCCCCTGAAAATTTCATTTTTAGTGTGCATGATTTCTTCTGTGATAATATTCTTGTAGTTCTAAAATGTGGAAAATTAAATGTTGTTTTGATATAAAATGCTCTGAAAAATTCCACTTAAAAAAATAATTATTTCATCTAAATTTAGATGATCTTAGGTGAATATTTTAAAAATGGATTCAGAAGTTTTAATGGAATGGATGATATTACAAGTTAGCTTTTACAATAGAAAAACAATTTGTATAATTTTAAAAAAATTTTTACAAAAATGTTTTACATTAATTTTTTTTCAATTTGTGTAGATTATGTGACTGCAAATATTACTTATAGTTAATGAAATTTATTTGTAAATATTGAATATATGAATTATGAATAGCAAAATAGTAAATTGTATGAAACAGATTGTAAATTGTATGAAACAGATTGTGAGCAGCATGTTAATCATTCATTATCAGCAACATTAATACAGGTATGAAATTAATTCATAGATTCAGGTTTCTTTGTTTATTAATGATATTTATTTTCTATATATCATGAGGTTTAAATAAATTGTTTTATTGTATAAATTGCTTTTAAATTTCAATGCTAGTGTGGTAAGTTTCCCCACACCCTCTTTTTTATATTTTTTAAATAAATTTAACCTATTATCAGAACTGCATAAAAATTTATATATGTAGCAGAATGCTGTGTATAATAAAAGTTTTGTTTTGGGAAAATTTTTAGCTTTTGAAGTAAAGTAAGTAATGTATATTTTCATCTCTTTTACTGATAAAAATATAACTTTTTTATTGATTTTATCTTGCTGCAGATAGCTTGACTCAGGATCTATTTTTTAAATTACAGGCTGTCATTTGCTGCTCGATATGTAAATTATATTATTTACAGAATCATGGAATTTGTAGTTTCAGTATTTGTTTTGTACTTTTGTATTGTGTGTGGTTTATTTTAGTGTGGCCAATTTTGATAAACATTTTAAAATCATTATCACTTAAAAGTTTATAACTTAAAAGCATTGTAGTTGATTGCAGCTTTTTGCTTCACATGCTCAGAATTTTACATTACTATTTTAAACATAGTCTTTGCATTTATTTTCATGTGTTACAACTCTGAATTTGCTTTTATTATTGAGGGTTTATTTTAATTTTTAAAGGGTTCATCAATTGGCCAGTATGATAGTGCTGTTGAGAGTCCCATTCCGTCACCCCCTGTTACACCTCCGGAACCAGCTGAAAGCCATCAGTTCGGTGCAGATAGCTTTGAAGGAGACGATGCAGTTCCTCATGAAGAAGTAAGTAAAGAGTTATTTATGAAACATGCAGTTTCAAACTTTGTAAGAGGACAGTATGAGTTAAAATAATATTGACTCTTTTATTAAATAATTCTGAGAAGTTATTTAAATTGATTTATTTCATGACGTTGTACACTACCCGATATTGAATATGCAACATCAAGAAGGAGTGGCCAGAAAGTAATGAAACTCGGCAGACAGAGACAGCAATGAACAATAAGCAATCTTTATTTCGAAATGATATGAGTAATACAGAGCAAGAACAGCATCGGCTCAGAAGGTTAGGTTATAAGTACAGGGGCCATCTGTTATTTACCTTGAGTAAGTAGGTATAGGCCCCTTACACTAGCTATACAGATTAACAATGCCTTCTTGGGGCCTCATAATGTCTGGTGATGGCTGGTGCAACCGACATTAGAAGCTCTGCCACCACTGACAACGTCGCTGGTTTTCCAGTCATCTATCCAGATCTACTTTGGCTGGTAGAGTACATAACTGCATATTCATCATACCTAGCCATTCATTGCTTATAGCTATAATCCATGTACACTGTGCAAAAAAAAAGGGGGTCAATTCTATATCTCCCGTTCCACTGGGCCGATTGATGAAATTCAAATTGCATCTTTCATGTCTTGAAAGTGTGACTTAAAATATATATCAGATTTATATAAAGCATTGTTCTAATATAGGTATTTTGACACAAAATCAGACTTTTTCTGAAGACTCAGGTGTTAGAAACACTTGTATGCAGGCACCCGGGTAATAAAAACCCATCCTGTGTCGAATTCGTGCGAAAATAGCATATCTTTTCCTACCCTAACGTTGAATCGTTCATAGTTGAGATGAATAAATCTTGTGATGCTGCAAGTAATGAGTCTGTCACGAGATTTAGTTTTAATGGAATGGATGATATGTTGAGGATTTCATGGATTATTGGGATCTATTTGTTGGAGAGGCTATTGCGTGCATGGCAGATTAGCCATCTGTAAAAAGATGGGATGTTTTAAAGAAGTGGTGAATACTGTATCTGATGGCTTATAATATTGTAATTGCTTCTTTTTTGGGAAACACTATTTTCTATATTTAGTTGAAATTGAGTGGCACTTTCTATTATCTAAAAATGGCAGTATTCTCTCTCTGATGCTAGCCTTTAAGATGCTTTATTGTCAAATATTGCAACCATATATTCATGAATATTTCTCAGTGTTATGCCTTCTTTGTTATGACCTTTAGTCAAATTATTTGAAAAACCTTTCTTTTATCCTTGGATTCATTATATTGATGATGTATTTGTGCTTTTTGGTAGTAATAAAGTAGACAACCAAGATTTTTTCCATCTTTAATTTGATTGATCCTGCTATCTAGTTCAATTTCAGAATTGAATTTAATAATTCTCTTCCTTCTTTTGATATTCAAGTCATCAGCAATGAACTTGATTTCAGAACAGAATTACTGTAAACCTCTTTTAAATAATTTTTCTTTTGTATTAAAATAAGTCAACTTTGCCAAACAAAAAATGGATTCTCTTAACATATGCTGTGCTCACAAAATGTATTCTTCAGAAGCTTTGCTTTCTCATGAACAACTTAATTGTTTGAAATTAGATGCTATTGACAGAGGAGTTTCTCTTACGGTTACTAATAAAGTCTTTAAAAGAATTTTCACTTTCCCATAAAAAATGGTATTCCACTGTTAAAAATAACCTTTATAGTTAAACTTTCAGATAATATTTTAAGCTACAAGAAAACTTGCTGTCCGATTCCTAAAGCTAACTAATAACTTTTTCAAGGAATTAATAGCATATCTTCTCATTTTGGTTTGACTTACAGCAGGCGAGCTAAATGATTATTAATATTTCAGATCAAGGAACATGAAGCTTATGTATGAAAGGTAAATAAATCTTTGATAGTTGATCCTAGTGGAAAACATAATTACAATTTGACATTTGGTGACTCTGAAACATTTCAGTTCTTGAATTAGATTTTCTTGAAGCTTTTCATATTCACAAAAATTTATCTTTTGTAGTTCTTCCTAGTTATTTCTGATTTCCCCATTTCTTCTGGAGATTAAATTAAAGTCAATTTAGTTTTATTCAAAGTCTGTGCCAAACTGAAGTTGTTTTTTACCTTGTTTTAAATTTTACTTTGGTAAGTTCCACTTCTAATGTATATGTAACAGCTTTCCAAATTAAAAAACAGTTGATGTGTGCTTTCTTTTTTATGCTTCTAAAGATGATGCAGTCATTTTATCATGTTTCTTCATTCCAGAATTGGCTTATTAAGGCATAAAACATATTGAAGACTCCTTCCTTGTCTTTATTAAATTTATCACGTTTATTATTTTATCATCTTGTATTAATTGGCTTTTTATCACCTTGTGTTAATGTTTTTTCTGTTTATTAAAGTTACTCCATTTTGTAAAAATCTGAATCTGATCAATACTTTTTTCAGAGAGCAGTTATATATTTTATTTATATATTTACTAATATATTTATTAATTTATTGAAATCTGAGTATATTTATTTTCCGTAGTATCTATTTTATAAGCTCAGTAGTTTAATAGAGAATATTTACTGAGTATGTAAATACATAATGTAATCTCCTTTTTGATTTCAGTATGGTACACCTCCAGAATCCACATTAGGTGAAATAAGTCTTCATTCTGTTGTGTCAAAACTTAGTCAGAATCCTAACATTATTTGCATGGAAGACGATGAATTTTCTTCTGACCCTGAAATGGTAGCTATAAGCTTGTGAACTATGTTTTTATTTTATTCATTTATTTTTTTAACATGTGTACCTGCTTTGACTAAATATACTTTGCATTCGTTTTAAAGAGCCACGTTGATGATCATGGTCCCTTTAGTGGGCTCTGGAAGCTTGTGAGAAATCCAGCTCATCTGTCAGTTTTCTTGCACTATTTGATGTCTAATAGTGATCCTTCTAGTTTGGTAAGTATATATTTCATATTCATTATTTAAAAATATATTTAGTTTTATGATATTATTGAAGCTATTCAAAAATGTTATGCTGACCATAGTGAATAATTAAAATTTAGTATTTGTGAAATAAAAGCATATAGTTCTGTGGTATGAGCACAACTTTTGTACTGAAAGTTTTATCTATGTGCGGAGTAGACTAATCTTATTAGGGAAAAAAAGGTGGATTTATTAATTAATTGCTTGTGCTAGGTAAATAGGAACATATTTGCCCTTTATTTACATACTTTGGTGAATTATCCTGTATAAAATAATTCTTCCCTCTATGTTTAAAAATCAAATATTTTAATGTAATAGTTTAATGTCAATTTTTAAAGTTACCAACCTAATAGTGTACAAAATTATTTTATGTATAAATGGCAAAATTGCTTCATTGTGTGAGAAACGCTGCTTCTGTATTCTTTTCTGCAGATAAATTATTTGTTATTAATTTCATTGAATGCATTTCAGTTCTTTTACCTTATTTCGGACATGTATGAACAAGGGAGTGGCAGGGACATGAAGAAATGGGCATATGAAATTCATTCAAGCTTTCTTGTTCCTGGGGCTGTAAGTATAATTTATTTTTTTTTTCTTTGTTTCCAGTGAGAATTCTTGTAATTATTATTATTTTTTTTTTTAACAGCCTTTAAAGGTATTATCAGTTGATGAAACCATTTTGCATGAAATTGGTAAGTGCATCTTAATTTTGATTTAATAGAATAGATTTTCTTTTAATAAAAAAAAAAAAAAACTTTCTGTTTAGACTTTAAAGGTAGTATTTTAGGCATCAAATGTTTTTTACGTACTTTTATAGATGAAGTACTTCAAAACCACATTGATAAGGAAGAAATACTTCGGAATGTTTTCAAGAAAGCAAATAGAAAAGCAAAAGAAGAGCTAAATGACTTTCTTGCTGATTTCCGCAATAAAAGAACAATGGGTAAATATGCTTAATGTTTTGTGATCTTTGTTCATCTTCTTTGTTTGTGTTTCCTGCAGACCATCAGATTTTTGTGTAATAGTGCATGCTGAAACCTAAAAGTAGAGACATTTGCTGCCAAGGTAGGTCCATAAACCTTCACCAAAAGCTGAGCGATGTGAACACAAAGAGTTAGCATATACCTCAACATGTGGTGAGTGTTTGATAGTGTATTAGGTGATAACAGCACACCATGACTTATGCATAATCAGCAGCAAATGTCTTAGTTATTAGTACAATTCCTGGTAACAAATGCAGATATAAAAATCATGTGATGTATAAAGTTAAGCATCATCTAAACTTTTCAACATAGTTATATACATATAAGTTAAATAATTTAATTCTAAATTTAATAATTTTTATACTCATTTGCTTTAATTATCATTCTTATGTTTTTAAATTTATGTGTTTTTATCAAGTTACAAAAACTTATGTTTGAAAGTTAATGTTTATGTTAAAAGAAAGTATGTTATGTACATAGCTGCATATATTTTCAATGACAAATTATTTGAATTTTTTTTTAAAGTTAGTAGCTTTATTAATGGATGGCTTCTTTTCATTCATTGTTGTTTAGTAAAATTAAGAAAAAATTTTCTGAATATGTAGGAATCGTCCCTTTTACCTATTAACTGTGGAGGACTGTAGTGAACTACTAACCAAATAATCGCTTAAGTAGAGAAACGTAAAGCTCAAGAAGAGTTAATTACACTTTATTGCTCACTATTAATAACAGCCTGTGCCCTTTCTCAGGATGCACAACAAAGCCTCCATTTGGTCTTAAATGTAAGGAATAAGAGCTTAACTAATGACTTACTAAAGAGATTTAGCCAAAGCTAACATAATTTCTAACTAGTAATATTAACTTATGTTTGAAAGCTAATGTTTATGCCTCTAATATTAAATTAGCTAGTGAATCTATACGGTCGAGCGAAGTAACAACTTAGAGAGATGTAGCCAAAAGGCAAACGTGTGCTGTTCAGGAAATCTAATTCTCTCTCAGTGGAACTTCGACTTAAATACTCTGTACTACTCATTTGCATTTAATGCGATTCTAAAAACTCATTCTGGTAAGAAATTGTAAGCTGAAATTAGGAGAGATAGAAAAGTGTGACAGACTTAAAATAACTGTTGTAAACTTAAGCTAAACCTTACATATTTCCCCACCAGAATTTAAATACTCAAAGAAAAAAAGTCTTGTTTAAGAGTTTAAATTCTAGAAAGTTACCTAACAGTTCAAAGTTTAACTTTTCTGCTTTCTTAATTCAATCTCATTATTGAATGTTTCCTGTTAGAGCCAACTTTACAAATGAGTTAAGTTAGAATGAGCTAAGTTAGAACTAAGAAAAAGTAATTTTTACAACATTCTTGCTTAGCACATACATCTTCTTCATCTTGACATCAGGTTGATATATACTTTGGTCCTTCCACTTGTTTCTAAGAAAAAAAGTTCCATTTCCATTTCCAATTCCAAATACATTTTATTGAATATATTTGGCCATCAAGCAGATTTCATTCACAAACATTTTAATTCGTTTTTCCTCCACGTCCTCAAGAAAGTTGTTCTGGTATGAACTGAGCATGTCAGTGTTGTGTTACTGCGAATCAACGTTACCATCATCTGTGAGTTGTTAGAATTTGACATACGAGACCTCAAAGCAGGCCCACACCGTGAATAGGTGCAGGGTTAAAAAGGCGCAGGACAGCCTTAAAAACAAGCAGTCCGTTTTGCTGCATGTCTGAACGGGAAAATTCTTTTCTTGTTCGAATGTAAAAATACATGATCCCGATGCGTATAGAATAGTAGACGCCAGTGCTCTAGACCTTTTCAACAAATTACTGAATCCTTATTTTGTATCTGCTGTAGTAATCATAGTAATTTGTGCAACGTTTATCTTTTTTGTAATTTTTTTTGGGGGGGAGGGTAATTGCTTGTTGTAATTGTTATTCTATATATATATATATATATAGATATATATATAAAGTACGTGCAATTACATATTATGTTAAACTTAGGTTAGCTTTTTAATTCAGAAAAGCAACAATTTGAGCATAATTATTTAAAAAATGTTTTTCACTTGAGCCATATGTTTATTAAATTAAAAATTATTAGCTTTCGAAAAGAAAAGATTGACATATTACGGAGTATCACATAAAAAACCAAAGAAAAAAGTTTCGTTTTTTCATTACATCTTAAATACATACTTTAAATTTATTTATTTTAATAAACAAAAGAGGTCCACCAGCTCCTTGAATTATTTGGTATTGATCTAATAGTTCATATTTTTTTTTTTTTCAGCAGTGGTTTAAGATATACTCAGTTTTTCAGAAGTAAGGTAAAATATTTCAAACTTTGACTTTCCGAGTGTTTTTAAGAAGAAAAGTTTTATGCAATGGTTCATATAACATCATTTTCTTTTGTTTTACTTCCACTTTTCCCAGATGTCAGAAGACCTGTCTAGGTATCAGAATTTACTGATGAAAAGAAAGCGAGAATAAAACGTAATAAACCAGAATTTTAAAATTACTCAGTTTTTCAAAACCCAGAGAATACGCAAGCTGATGCTACCAGCATTAGTTGTCCATGAGCATCTCAATTACCAAAATTTTCCCAAAAGGAACCTAATAATCAGAAAATGTTTTTGCCCGGGAATTACCTTCAGCTTTAGTGGATCCGGTCGAAACATCAGAAGAAATAATAGAAAATATTTTATCAAATGCCTGTCATTTGGCCACTGAGCCATTAGACAACAGGCTCTCCATCTCACCTCATGACAATCATGAGCAGATAGTGCAGGGCACTCGTCCAAGCAGTCATATCTTGTTCAGTCATACAAAAAGAACATGTAGGGAGTCCACTATGTTAAAACAAAAATGATGATCACATAGACGCAATTGTGCCCAGTTAACATTCTAGAAGTTGCAACTGCAGTCGCATGAGGTGAGTCAGGAACAAGTTGTCGTCTAGAATAGAGTACGTTCAAAGGTCTGCCATTCGAAAGATGCAAAGCTGTATCATGAAGAAACCACCTAGAAATCCTAGCTATTTCAAATTTAGCTGAATGGAATGGCAAATAAGTAAATAGTATCGAAAATAATAGTGAAATGTACAATTTCTGCTGTAGATATGCATTTGCTTGTGCCTGATGATCCCAGATTATGGCCAAGTCCATTATTGCCATCTTAAGTACAAGCCTTAAAAAATGATGACAGGTATTATCAAAACATGGTTTCTAGTTTTAGTTTCCCAAAAGAAAAAAATGCACGCAAAATTTCTGAGATGTACTTTTGCCGAATCTTGTCAAACAACAAAAGAGTTAAAAGGGATTGGTTGCTGTATTCTGTTGAAAAGAATTCTTTTTATTGTTTTTGCTGCAAAATTTTTAACGATTTTAGCGACGTAAAATTGAGTAGTTCTGGATTTAATGGCTGGAACCACTTCAGTGAGCAATTGAAAACGAAAAAAGTAAAATGCATTTTCGGAACCTACATCTTTGGTCTGATTTCCTAGACTAGGGATGGGCAAACTACAGCCCGCTGGCTAAAACCGGTCCACCGAAAGACTCTATCTGGCTTGGAGATAGAATTTTAATTTGCCAGTCCGAGGCAAATTTAAAAAAAAAAAAAAAAAAAAAAAAAAAAAAAAAAAAAAAAAAGTATATGTGTTATATATCCATCTCCTTTTCAATTTTGTTTAAATATTATTATTTTCTTCTTTTTTTTTTTCAAAGGACTGATGATCTTTTTAATTTCTCTATTTTTGTTCTAAAAAACATAAATCGATGGAAATAGCTAGCACAGACAGCTTTCAATCCGTAAAGTGTTAAAAGCGGAAGTTCTTTGTTAATTATAGCTGTAGATTGGCACCTGTTGGAAAATATGACCTATTGTAACCTTTCTTCTGCATCATCTCTCCTCCTTGAAATAATTCTAACTTTTACATAAGGTTTAGTTCTTATTTTAAAGGGATATAGCAATTACTTCTACTTCTTTTTCACTGCCACTGTTTATATTAAGAACGGACTGTTTCAGCCTAATTAAGATGCAAAAACAAAACTTGATGTTACGTCATCTGGAAAACCGAGTCGTGCCGATAGTTGATTGGTTGTTGTGAGATGATGTCATGTCTACTTCAGGTATAAGTATCTCGCATCACTCTGGCTTAGTGTTTCTGGTTCCTGTTTCTTTGCTCCTTGGTGTCCTTTCCAGCACCCATTGGAAGGCGATATTGCAGTGCTTGCCGTCCAGCAATAAGTACTGTGGTTCCAGTCTGAGATGATTTTCCCTGGATTCTGCAAAGCGGCTATGATGTGAGCAACTGCCGCAGCGGCATCCTGTTTCCAAAGTTAAGCAATGTCAAATTCCAAACTATGATTTCCGGTGAGCAACTGCCGTGTGCGGCATCCTGTTTTCGTGAAGGCGGCATCTTCAATACAAGTGTTTTTTCAGGACTGGCGACGATGTGATCTCTCGTGTGTAACTACAGTGAACGGCTTTTGCCAGTTCAAATACACTCAACGTTTAGTTTAATTTTTCAGGTGCATTCTTGGCCAAAAAGCATGGACCTATTGATAGTGAAGTGAAATTCATATTAACCGTGTAGTTTTTGTTCTGTGCTATGTTTTTCGTGTATTGAATGCCAGTATTCAAAGATTAGGTAATATATTTGCTGTATCATTAATAGTGTAATATTCTGTAAAAGAAAAATCCTTGGGGTTAATGAATAGTCAACTAAATGTAATTTTTGATAATGTTACACTCTTTAAGTTTCTGGTGTTGATTAAATTTATTTATTGTACTTTTATTTTTATATATATTGTTAATAAATTGGTTAAGTTTAAATCTTTTGTCTTCAATGTCTGCACAGTATATAATCTTAGGGAGCTTCTATTGCTATTTCTGCTAAATGTTTTTATAACTTTAAACTTTGCTTTTGCATCAGCGCCAGCAAGCATTATCTCCTTCTCGGAGGGCAGGTATATGAGAATCCAATATAGGTGAATTTAGACCTCACATGTGGCAGACTGCGCATTTTAAGCTCCGGCCAGCTGCTTTTTCTTTTCGCACGAGTTCGAATGTTGATTGCATATGGGAAGATTGCAGACATACAGCATCATTGTGAATAGTGGTAAAATTATTAAATGTATAGCATAGCTAGTGCTTGTTTGGGTTATTCGTAAAATATTTCAACCCCAAAATGGTTACTAAAAAAACATAAGAGTTGATTCAGAGTGCCGTACTTTTAATGATGAATGGACCTGGAAATATTTTTTTTACAGTTGCAAAAGATAAACCAGTATGTCTCATCCACAATGAAGCTGTAGCAGTTTTCAAAGAATATAACATTTTCCTTTATTTTATTTATAAGCATAAGAATTTCAGTTACAAAGCAATGTCTGAATATGAAAGAAAACAAAATGCAGAAGATCTTTGTAAAATATTATCAGGGTGACAAAAATTTTCATCTTGTTTTCCCCCCCTCCGTACAGTGTTGCCATTGCTCGCTTTGAAATTGTTGAGTTTGTTAATCAAAAATTTGTTAAAGTGTTACAAAATATGAAATCGATGATAAAACAAATTCCAAATTAGGGCTTCAATAAAAATTCTGCCAATTGTCTGTGAAGGACTACGTTATTCAAAATTTGATAGCTCTATTTACCTTTATTTTATCACAGTGCAAGAAACATACATGAATTTATGATTCTTCATTATTTAATTTCTTTAACTATAACATAGAGCGATAATGTTTGGTGGCAACAATTTGAAAAATGAAATGGACATTTTAAGTTTTTGACGCAAAATGCCAAAATGAAATTAATAGCCCATCTAGGCTAACGTCTTTTTGGCTAAAAAGATAGGTAGTGTAATCAGGCCTTAGAAGTGTATTGAGGTAAAATTTTGTAAAGGTGGCGATTACCATTTTAATTTTGTGGGTATGCCCGAGGCAGTGTCACTGAATGAATGGAGCTTCAAAAAGAGCGCTAAAGCGAACATTATTGGGAAGCATGTTATAGAATAAAAGATTTTGCCTATGATTAAAAAACACTAGATTATGCTTACTATAGCAGAATTAGCAGTACCCAAGATGCATCATGTGGAAGCCTGCTACTCTACACACTCCCCTAAAAAGCACTTCTTGGTTATATGATGATTACATGCGTATAAATGAAAAAAGGTGATTTAGTTATGTAGTATTTGCATTTTTTTGCAAATTAATTAAAAATCTGAAAAATAAACTAATGTTATATCTACAATTAAGACAACATAAACTATAAAATAAAATTAAGTAAACATTTACAACTCAAAACTATAAAATATAGAGCTAACAGAGCTTCTTTCAATGAAAGCAAGAAAATAAAGAGAACTACTCCAGTGCAAATCAAAGAGCTAACTGATAAAATTACCCCTGACGTCCAGAAAAACACCCCAACAAATCCTTAGTTGGTAACCAAATGCCCTCCCCCCCAAAAAAAGGAAATTAAACCTAGATATGCACTTATCTTTCTGATGTGAATAGGCTCACTGAAGAAAAGTCTGCAGTAAAACAGCAATACAGTTATTGGTCTGGTGTTTTAGTGATTCCACTTTGGTCACACCAGATATTTGTCATTCAGTTTTAGGCAAGATTCCAAGTTAAAATTTTAAAACTAATATAAAATAAAGATATCAGCATGCAACCAAGAAAACAGCATATAGATATTTCTTTTCAAACAATTTATATTTAAAAAAAAGGGGCGAGATTTTTTTGAAAAATGAGGGATTTTAAAAACTAAACATGGCTGAAATGTAAGGACTGGTTATTGTTGTGCTGCCATCTAGTATTTACAAAGAAAGTTAAAAGTAACCTATAGTAACCAAAGTCTTTTCGTATAGTCCTAAACTATAGGAAAAGATTTAGTCTTTTCCATTCAGTTTTTGTGTGTGTATAGATGGAAGCTGGGCACGTTGTGCCCAGAAATGGTAAGTGCATTGTAAGATGTGCAATTGCGCTGTTGGCCAGCTGAATTCCATTTATTCAAAGTCTATGAAAAATTAAGGTTGCTTCTTTTGTGTGTGCCTAATTTCAAATTTTCCATTCCTATGTTTTTCACTTTTTTGATTTGTTAAGTACTTAATTATCGATTTATGTATAGTCTGTTTCTAGCCATTCTTTCATTGTGTGGTATTTTCTCAGTCAGGAAGTGCGTGTGCATCAATCTTATGCAGATTTATTCCTATGATTGTTCTTAAAAACTAACTTTTTAGCCTTTTTTTTCCCTATAAAGATTGTATGTGTAAAAGAAAAGATATTTTACTGGTGATGAGCAAAAATTAATATATTAAGGGAAGCATTATGTAATCGTTCTTGTAGTTTTTATTTTATTGAATTTTATGTTTTATACTCCAGGTCTTGCTAACATGTATGGTCCACCAGATTATCAACTGGAAGAAGCCAAGCATGATAAAAATAAAGAGTTGAAGATCATTGAACAGCTTCTAGTTCCATGTTTAGAGCTATCACCGTATGTATTATAAAACATTTGGAATTTTTCAATGCAAACATATAGTATATGATTGAAATTGTAAATACTTAACTGTGGTAAGAATGATTAATAATCACTTTCATTGCCATGAATTCATATAATGAATAAATACAAAGTAAAAAAAAAGTAATTCGAAACCTAATCCATTTGTGTTCTGAGAGCAGCAACGATTTGTGGTAATGATAATGATGCAAAATAACCACTATGCTTCTTTTTTTTTTTGTTTTTTTTTTTTGTTTTTTTTCCCCATGTGGCTGTTAAACTTTGATGCAAATGCCATGTACCCACGGATTATGCATGTTCAGATTAAAGTTGTGCTATGGCTAAGACAATTAAAACATTTGCTTCAGGTAAATGAAAATATATATATATATATAAGAGTGTAATTGATTAAGCATCACTATGAAAGGAGAAAAAAGTATTTAAATGGTGCAGTTTTTAGAATTTAATTGTTGCATTGGGTCTCAAAAAATTGGCGTGGTTCTGGTTTACATATATTCATTCAATATGTATACTAACTTGTTTAGCCCTCTGAGTACTTTGTCAGAATAAATAGGTGGTTTGTAGCTGAAATTTTGTGCCAGGCAATTTCACACTAAAGGGGCTTAGCATTTACTAATAAAAGTTTTCATGTGACTGAACTATAAGTTGTTAATATGTAATCGTATATGTAACCTAATATGTATCATTGTATATGTAATATGTAACCTCAAAATATTGGTAATGTAAAAGTTAAGAGATGATCAATATTTATTTGTTATTACCCAAATATTGTAACTTTATGCTAATTTTTTGAAAATTATTCTTTGATATGAATTCACATAAAATGAATGTAAAAATAAACTATCTCAGAACTCTATGCTAATGGAATGCAAATAATGTTCATATTTTTGTGTACCTGAAAGTCACTAGGCCCACCAATGGCCAAGTGGTAATGCCACTGAGCACTGATAAGATATTTTTATGTTTAAAAAATTTTAATATTAAATGAAATAAAAGTTTTATTCACATAAAATTAATGTAAAAATATACCATCTCAAAGCTCTAGGCTAATGAATGCAAAGAATGTTCATATTTTTGTGTACCTGAAAGTCGCCAGGCCTACCAATGGCCAAGTGGTAAAGTCGCTGAGCACTGGTAATTTAACCATTTTCAAGTGAATGGATTGGTGGCATGGGCATTTTCATCGCTTTCCTCATGTGTCACGTGAATGCAAGGCAGTTTCCCTTAAAAAGACCTCCACTTAAGCATCTCTTTAATTAGGCCCCTCGCATATTTTCCATAATTAAGTAAACCAAACTGAGAACTTTAAAGTTACCATATGTTTTAACTAGAGACACGTTGTTAATTTCAACCTGACAAGGCTTACATTCAGTTGTATTTTCTCATACATCTGTAAACAAATACATGTACACATATCTCAAAATGTGTCCAGACAGCTATCTGAGAGGGAAGAGGGGGTTCTAGGTATGAAGTTACAAGCATTTTGCTATTATAATTTGGAAATTATGTATTACTAATGATGTTTTCAGGAGGTTTTGGAGCCTGATTCTATTTACTAAATACATCATTTAAAAGTACACAATTTAATGATTATTTAATTACATATTTATTTGTATTACTGTTCTGTATTATTATTATTATTATTATTATTATTATTATTATTTGAGGTTTAATCCCTTAGTTGCAAAATATTTGTAAAGTGTTAGTGGGAAATTTCATAATGAAATTTTAATGAAATTTTTAGTATAAATATTAGATTACAAATTTTCATCAAATGTTAATGATTTACCGTACACACCCTGCAAATTTAGACTTTTTAAAAATCTCTCTTTATAAAAAAAAATTTCATGATGTTTAACTTTTGTTTTGAGAGTGTTAATGCAAGAAAAGTAAAGAATGAAATATGCTTGTATTGATCAGTTTAATCATATTGCCACAAGTAAAATAAAATTACTGTATTTTTTCTCTAAAATTTGTGCAAGTATTTGGCTAATGAATGCATATGTATGCAGATTTATTGTAGAAATATTCATGAATTATTAAAAAATGTTTACTAGTTGTTAGAAAAAATGTATATGTTATGTTGGAAGCATACTCAGATGTGTGATGTAGTAATTGTAAATAACATTATTACAAGAATATATGTAATATTTTAAGTTTTATTTTGTTTCACAAAAATATAAATTTATATTTCTGTGCATATAGTATGTGATTTGAATGTAAGAATAGTTATTATGGCGTATTTTTGTTTTAGTGAAGATTTAGAAGGTGTTGATGATAGAGCTGCTGCCAAGACCTATGCTTTAGCAACTGTGTTAAAACATTTTGGTGTAAAAAATCCTCAGGCACTGGCTCAGATAGATAGGTGTCCTATGTTTGTAGGAAAAGGAAAATCACGCCTTAGAATTTTACCAAAGAGTAAAAAGGTAATTGCATTGCAGGCATTTGATTCTTAATTCATTTGAGAAATTTTATTTATGCTATATAAATTGTGAATGGTATGTTACAGTGATAAGTTTTCATGCAATCAAATTCTGATCATTATATTTATGAAAATGTGAAATAATGGGACAGAAATACTAATTTTGCCTTTCAAAAGCTCATTTCTCTCTTTTTTAAACCTAAGATTTGAAAGAAAGCTTTTCATCCTTAAATTAATATTTCATGGTTTTGAGTATTAAGATCTTGACAAACTACTTTCAAAGAAATTTTTCATCAATGACATTTATAATTTATTTGTTATTGATATAAAGCTATATTATGTAATGGGAAATTATATAAAATAAATATAAGGAGAAATGATGCAAAGTTATTTTAAGTATTTTTAAAATCAACAGTACTTCTATGTAAAATTTTTTATGTTAAATCTCAAAAGTAAGTTTTTGATTTTTTTATTAAACATTTCTTATTTATTTGCAAAAGGAAGATATTCACGTAAGTTGGTGAAAATTTATGATTAGCAGTAGTTCAGAAGTAATAATTACAATTATGAAAATGAACCAGATAAAATATTACAAAGTTTGCCACTTAGTAACAGTGCACTTCGTATAATTGAAATAGCTGAAACTATTGAACAGCAGCTGGTCTCTGAATTAAGGGTTAATAAATCTGCCATACATCTGGATGAATTGATTTCTAGAAGGAATAGCATTTTAATGGTCTATACGTATTATTATAGTGATGCTAAAAAAGAAATAAGGAAAGAATTTTTGTGCAAAGTGTTGAAACTTTCTTCAGGATGAGGACATATATTTCACTGTTTTGAAGACTTTTTCCAGCAATATGATATTTCCCTGTTCAACATATCTGCAGCTTCTTGTGATGGAGCACCAGTGATGGTTGGCAAATATCAAAAGAGTTTAGCTATTTCAAAAATAAGATTTCTGACAATTTGGGCTGTGCATTGTTTTATACAGCGTTTAATTGTGAAAAATATTCAGGAAGAGCTTCATACAGTTTTAAAGTTATGCCTTAAAACAGTAAGTACTATCAAAGCCAAAGCTTTGAATGACACTCTTTTTGCCCAGCTGTGTGATTACAGTGATGAAAGTTACAACAGTTTACTTCTTTATGCAGAAATACACAGGGTCTCTAAGGGTAAATGTTTGGAGTATTTCATAAACATTCTTAATACAGTCAAAAGTCGTTAATTCGGACACCCATAATTCGGAATGATCTATAATCCGGACATCAAAACTAAAAACTTTCTGCGCATGCGCCGCGTTGACACATGCGCATAGGCGTTTACGCGTGCGTGTAAGACCTTTTACGACTGCGCATATCAGTGTGCGCAAGTGCAGAATACGTTTTCGCGTGCGCGTTTTATGTATAATGGACGTATAAGCTAAAATTATCTAATTATTATTTCAGTTAATGTTGATGATTGCGTTGTTCCTTATTTTTCGAATTGGATCCGGCTTATTATTTTTTGCAGACTGTAAGAGCAATTTTATAAAAGTAAGCTTAAACTTTCGATTATATCAAATAGAATTTCCGATATATATTTGTTAATATGTAAAGGATCTAAAGCGAAAGTATGTTTTGAAATCCGAAATCTGTTTATCAATTTCACGCTGCTCTCGCGGAGGAACGCCGCGCCGCGGCGGGGGCGCGTAATGAATTGGAAGTTGATTTGTCAGCACCATCCTTATCTTCAGCGCAGATGTTTTTTTTTGGCTTATAATTCCTTACCAAATGTAGTATTTCATCTCGATATGCTCCGTCTTTGATATGATTTAAAACAAGTTCCTGGTCATTATAATTTGCTTCCGATAGCGAAAAAAAGTAACAGAGGTTATTGAAAAAAAACGAAAAAATTTCGATTGACAAATTAGTCGGTGTTCTTGACACAGCAATTATAGGAACTTGAAACAGCGGAACTTTGTAACTGAACAAGAAATTATGTCTGTTTAATAGAATTAAAGAGAAAGTATTATCACATGAAACGAAGCAAAACTTAAACAACTTACATTAAAAGAAATGTTTAATAAAGTAAACAAATAAATATTAAGCTTTTTCTTTTTGCAAATTTTGATACCCTTTAGATCATAATTGTTCTTTATTTCATAAATTACGGTTTCATATTTTTAATTTTAGAACTTCTGCATGCCATCTTACGAGATTTAAACTGATGATCTATAATCCGGAAAAATCGATAATCCGGAATCGCCGAAGTCCCGACGAGTCCGGATTAACGACTTTTGACTGTAGTGACCAAATTTTTCTTCTAAGTTAACAACCATATGATGACATAAAAACTAAAAGGAAAATGCATCAATCCCTTTGAAGTTAAAATGATTGCCTTAATTTTTCTCTCTAAAATTGATGTGCTTGTATCGGCACTGAATCGGATAGGATTCTATTTCTTTGATGAATTAATGTGATTCTCCATTACTGTAAAGAATATAAGGTGAATCTAAAAAACTTGGCAAAATTTTGGGGGGGGGAATAGAAGGCAGCTGTACAGGCAATATTCATCATAGAATATATGGTTGGAATGCAAGTAGTGTGAAGTTAAAGGGTAGTTTTTGTCTGTCACATTTAAAGAATTAAGAATGAGAGGAGATGCCCCAGAAAACATTTAATTTACAGAACATGCTCATAGAAATTGCTCAAGAGACCTTCCAACAGCTGTAATGCAAGCTTCACATGTGCAGGATAGGGACTGATGCTCATTTGCAAAGACACCAGCCATTTTTTGAATATCCTGGCGACTAAATTCATATAAGTTTCAATGGGCATTCGTAGATTAGGCTTTTCATATGGCCCCACAGGGAAAAGTCACATGCTGCACTTGATGGGTGTTGGAATAGGACACAGCAGTTCTGGCGACACCTTTCGTAGGTAGGAATGTATGATACAATTGCACATCCAGGTTTTGGGGCAGGAGGTATGGGCTAACCAAATGGTCATGCAGGATCCCTGCCCAATCATTAATGGAGAACCTCCACTGGAACAAATGAGAACGTGTGGCATGCAGGTTCATAGATGACCATGTGTGTGAGCTGTGGGTATTAAAAACAAACTCACGGGTAAAAGTGCACTCATCCGTAAACGAAGTATGTGCTCCGAAACCCGTCTGCTCTGCATTCTGATGGAGGTACCAATGTTCAAAATCTATACATGGCTGATAGTCCACTGGTGATAATGCTTGTACCTTCTGTGTACGATGGGAGTGTATTTCTTCCACCTGAAGCACACAACAAACCGTTATTTGGGACACGTTTACAGCATGGGAAACCACAACTACTTCCATGCTACATCATAGTTGATTTTCACTCTGCAAAGAATGTCTTCTTCAAGTTGCGGTGTCCTGATGCTCCTTTCACACTCTGCATTCTGCGTGGCTGCACCGAAGGATTCTGTTTCTTACAGTCGGTGATGCAAATGCTTGAATGTTTTCCGATTTTGAGTGCATCTCATTGGAAACTGGTCTCTGTTTCTGTCTGCTGCATCATATATGAAGTGCATATCGGCCATTTCATGGTTCGTATAACCAGCCATCCTCTCGGCAGTCTACAGTAGAAAATGCAGTTGAATGTGAGGACCGACCCTTTTATACTATGTAACTATTGGCTCACCTTTTGTGTTTCTCCCTGACTTTCTATGTCGAATATACTAATATTCTATCATCCCATAAAGTTTTGCCAACTTTTTCAGATTCACCCTATATATATTTTTTTGTATACAAGCCATTTTTAAAATTTAAAAGATTTTAATGTTTACTTGCAAGATTAAAAACTTGAATGCATCAGCATAGGTCATGGAACTGCCATATATCTGATCTGGATACTATGATTGCATTGAAGGAAGATGTTTAAGCACAAGTTTTATTCAAACCACATGAGTGTGTTAAATTTTGTAATTAAAAGTTATCCAAAAGAAATATCCCCTAATAAAAGTTGTTAACAGAATCAATGAATGATGAATTATTCAATCAGCTAATAATCAATTATCAATGATTGATAATAAATTATTGATTTTCCCTTCTTCTTACCTAGTGGAGATAGGCTTTAGTCGTCATTAATTTCCTGCAGAAAATAAGAAACAGATTAAATATTTTCAAACAAGGTGATTTAAGAATTAAGCTTAGCATTTTTTGCCAAATATATATATCTATATATATATTAAACACACACACACACATTAAGCACAGCCATCACATTAATAGAAATCAAACTTGTAATTAGAATCTGATTTTGTTGTGGAAAATTGGTTTATATTTGTAAAATTAAAAATAATAAAATAAAACATAAATTTAATAAACCATTTCTTTTCCCAAAACATCTGTTATTCTTAGTCTAATTGTTGAAGTTGTTTTTGTGCAAATATTTTTATTACGATTTTGTTTCATGCTGTATATTATAGAGAAACATGTAAGAGGGTTGATAAAGAATACTATTTTTTTTTTAAAAAAGGTTTGATGCAAGAAAAGGGTTGGAAAGCCCTGTTGTAAGGTATTTTCTTCCTCCTTTCCACATGCCTTAATCGTACAACTGAAGCATGCCCAGATAAACATTTAGGAGGTCTGTAGTTTGAATCATGGTGAAGGCATAGCACATTTGTCTTCTTTCCTTTTTTAACAAATTCCACAGCAGTTTCAACTGCAAACCTCTCGACTGCTAGTTATGTGCTTCTAATTACCCCATAAAAGCATGTAGTAAGTAAGGAAAAAATGCTTTATAACATTAGTTTTAATGCAGTTTTTGTCATTTCTTTCAAATTTTAATAACTAAGCTGTTTCTCATTTGATTACTCTTTTGATCAGTGGGTGGTGCTACATTCATTTCTAAATTTGTGCTGCCCATTAATTTGGCTGTTCTCTCTATTTCCAAGGAGATAAAATTTTTATTTGTTTTTGAGGAAGAGGGACTTATGTCAGTTCACATCTGGAATTGGTAACAGTTAAAATTTATGACTCTTTTTTTTTTTTTTTTTCCCTTTTTGAGGGGGAATTGAATGCCTAATTTATCATTTGAGAATTAAAAGTAGAAACTGTCTAAATATGGTAAACATAGATAGTATAGTTAAGGAGTAATTTAGGAGAATATTGCTTTTTAGCTGATTTTTTTTATTTCCCATTTTGGTGTTGATCTGCTTACTGAAATGGCAGCTCAAAAACCAGAACTCCATAAAGTTTTATTATCAAATTCAGGAAAAAATGACTATCAGTTATTTAAGAGAAACTAAAGCTTTAAAATAATAAGAAAAATTTCATATTTTTGTATATTCAGGCAAAGAAATGGGAAGATTTTTTTTTTTTTTTTTTTTAATTATCTGTTAACAAATTAATAGACATAGAATGCTGACTATGCTGTAGCACATATGGGTATTCTTCATACTGCCACAAGTTTTCTTAACCTAGGCTAAGAAAGGCATATTAAATGCAGGCTTTGTTTATAAAATCATGATAATGAATTTAAAAAAAATGAATATAATATTGTGTTTAAAATGGGCTGTTAAAGTGTCAAATCCAAATGCTTGGGAATTTTTTTTTACTGTGATATTATTTCAATATAAATTTAATGTCATGTGGAGACTTGGATGCATATTTAAAATAATAATTATCTAATTATTGAAGGTGTGGTTGTGCATTTATTTCATTGGATTACCTGCACATTAAGCTTACAATAGCTCAGTTACAACAGCTACAACAAGTAGTACTTTTTTCAGGCTGTAAAAACCTGTTTGACAGGCTTAACAAATGATCTTGCAAATTTTAAATACCTTATTATGTTATTTATACTTATTAAATACCTTATGTTTAAATATCTATATGATTTGTTTATCACATAATGTTAAATTTGAATTTTTTTATATGTAAAAAGTAATGTTAAACATATTTTTTTAAGGACGTGATGTTTATGCAAGGTCATCATTTTGTGTCACAGCATTACTACTCTGTTACTTATTGTAATCACTGCCAACTAATCATCTGGGGTGTTGGTTATCAAGGTTATCAGTGTCAAAGTATGTATGCATTTTACATAAGGTGTAACCTGAGTTTAATCTGTTTTCTTTATAGACATTGTAATTTGTAATTCCTTTACCTATCATACATCTTTAAATTTTTCCACTCAAGAGAGAAAAAGAGAGTGAGTGGGGTTAATGATTGGAACTCAGAATTATTCAATTTTGTTAAGATTTGTAAAATATTAATATGTGTATATACAAATATATTTAAGTAAAGATATAAGGTTAAGAAAATAGGAAAATAATTTTAATATATATATATATTATTTAATATATGTATATTTATCACCTTTTCCTAATCTAGAAATTGTAATATACAGTCAAAAATCTTTAATACGGACTCGCCGGGACTTCGGTAATTCCAGATTATTGGTTTTTCCGGATTATACATCATCAGCTTAAATCTGGTAAGATGGCATACAGAAATTATAAAATAAAAAATATGAAATCACATTTTATGAAATAAAGAACAATTATGATCTAAAAGGTATCAAATATTACAAAAAAAAAAAAAAAAAGCTTAATATTTATTTGTTTACTTTATTAAACATTTCTTTCAACGCGCGCATGCGCAAAGCCCTACATTACGCATAGTCAAAATTAGAAAATTGCAACCAAAAACTATTTGATGTGTATTCGTGATATTTATAATGAAGGAATTTGATTTAAATCATATCAAGACGGAGTACATCGAGATGAAATACTACATTTAGTAAGGAATTATAAGCCGAATAAAATAAAAACATCTGCCCTGAAGATAAGGATAGTGCTGACAGATCAACTTCCAGTTCATTGCCCCCCCCCCCACCCGCAGAGCAGCGTGAAATTGATAAACAGATTTCGGAATGGTTAGAGAAACAAAGGATATGCCTTTATCCATTTTTTTGCAGCAATTCCACATTTTGTTTGATGGACATCAAAACGTGCTTTCGCTTTGGCAGCTTCAGAATCGGAAATTCTTTTTCACATAATTGAAAGTTCAAGCTTACTTTTATAAAATTGCTCTAACAGCCTGCAAAAATAATAAGAAGCCGGATCCAATTCAAAGATTAAGGAACAATGCAATCTGCAACATTAACTGAAATAGATAATTAGATAATTTTAGTTTAGCTTGTACCGTCCGTTATACATTAAACGTGCATGCGTAAATGTATTATGCGCATATTCACATGTGTAAAGGTATTATGCGCATGCGTTAACGCATTATGCATTGACGCATGCGCAGAAAGTTTGTAGCTTTGAGGTCTGGATTATAGATCATTCCGTATTATGGACATCCGGATTAAAGACTTTTGACTGTATTAAATATACCTGCTTAGCATTGGAAAGCATTTAAGAATAAAATAGAAGTAATGTACTTGCATTATTTTTGATTTATTCTTAAATGCACTTGCGTAATGCAGTAGAATAGTTTTCTTCTTTATAATACTTTATTCGTAAATAATATGTAATTTTACTATCTTAATCCTCATAATTTTAAAACATTCATTCTATATAAGCTTAATTATTATGTGCATAGCCTAAGAAAACATTTAAGAATGAAGTGCATAATGCAGTGGAATAGTTTTCTTCCTTATAGTACTTTATTCTGTAATAACATGTACTTTTAATTTCTTAATCCTGATCATTATAACTATTTTAAAACATTCTTTACATTGCTTAAGTATTGAAAATTTAATGCTCATGGTCAATGAAATTCATACACTAAGAAGGCATTTGACACAAGTAAAATTTAATAGACATAAGAATGCAATTAAAAGATACACCAGTGAAATTGAGTAGACATAAAGATGTGTGTGAATAATCTCAACTGAAGTAGGGCAATTAGTGAAGAATTTGTGGCCTTTTAATAATTTTTATTATTCAGTAGAGTACTGCGCAACTACGTACTGCAATTCAGGGTACAAATTTTGATTGTACTGCTGACCAGGGGACTTCTACATCCAGATAGGATGGTCATCTAACTCCAAAACAAGCATGAATCATTAATGAGTTATGGATTGCAATAAGATGGTGCACCATATTGCTTTGAATTGGCATCATTAAGAATGGAATCATCGGTGTACCAGTGTTAAATGGCAGAATATGAATTGGGTTAGCAGATTCACTTCTTTGAGGCATCTCACAAGGTTTTCATGTCTACCTAAGTAGTTTCAGTGGCTCATATAGTGCATTGGGTACCATGTTCGGATGTGTACATGCTTAGCAAGTGATTCTTTCATCTCTTTTGGTGGTTTTCCTGGTTTTTTCTGAGGTGGTCTACTATGTGTGGCTCTTCCTGTATATCCATTGTCATCAACAACTTATTCGTTGATCCTTGTGGTAGAGCATATCTAATAAGGCACTGTGCCCAACCACTGCGCCATTATTCATTCTGATGATAAGGCTTTTCTGGAATGAATATTTCTTCTGCCTTAAATGTACCTGCTTAGCATTGGAAAGCATTTAAGAATAAAATAGAAGTAGTGTACTTGCATTATTTTTTATTTATTCTTAAATGCACATGCATAATGCAGTAAAATTGTTTTCTTCTTTATAATGCTTTATTCATAAATAATATGTAATTTTACTACATGTTATCTCAGCGATTTCCTATTAGCAGAAGATGCATTAACTATGAGTGTATTTTTCTGAATTAATATGAAATCTTTTTTTTTTTTTTTTTTTGGTCTGTCACTTATATATTTTTTAAGATACTTAATGATTGATTATTCATAAACTTATTATTTTCTTTGAAGACTGTGAAATGAACATTCACAAATCTTGTGTGAAAGTAGTTGAAGAGCATTGCATTGGTGCTGTTCGGAAACGAGATATAGCAAAAGATAAAAAAGAAAAGGCGAAAGAAAGGCATAAAAAAGATAGAAAATCTGGTATAATGGAAAATATTATTGGAAAAACACGTAAACCCAGCCAGCCCATTCCAGCAGCTAGTAAGTTATATATTTTATTTTGAACTGTGTTTAAATCTAAATCTTATATAAATTTTGGATTTAATATGAATCTGAAATTTCATCATGGAATTATAATTTTAATGGCTGAAATTTAATGCCATTTAAATTACAGAAGTTTAGAATTATTATTATTATTGTTGTTATTATTACCATAATTTGATTTTCTAAAAGGAATTTTTACAAGGGGGTTTGTTTTAAAAGGTTTGTAAGAAATCAAATTTTAATGTAAAATCACAAAAAAGTTATATTTTTAAAAAATTATTTAAGGTACCTAATTCCTTAAAATAGGATTCAAAGTTCATTTCAAAGTTGTAATATCCCTTTCCTCAGTTAAGATCATAATGCATATCATCACTGTGTGATTAGCAGACTTAAGCAATTTACAGGATTTAACTGTCTTCTGCAGCAGTCATTTTCATGGTAATGAAGCAAGTCAGGAAGTGAAAATATGGCTGTGATGTTGTACTTAAAGTTACAGATTACAGGTCAGTTTCAGTGTAGGGTGGGTGAAAGCAAAAATAAAATTTCTTTTAAAATTACATTACATTTTTTTTAGCTAAAAAATAATTCATTTATTTATTGAACTAAAGGGAATTAGTGGGGGAAAAAAGCCAACTTATTAATTTCTGAGTCATTGTTTAGGTCAGGGATGAGCAAACATTTTTGATCGTGGGCCAAAAATTAAAAAAAAAAAAAAAAAAAAGTTTGGCGGGCCAAGAATAAAATTTTCTAAAATTTTAAAAACAATATGCAAGTATTACAATTTAAACATGTTAATGAGATGAATGAAATTACGATTTCATTTTTGAAAGTTCCTTATATTGAGGTTCAAAGTGAGACGTACTGATTCTAAGGAACGAGGCTAGTCAGTCTACTTCTGAAATAATTCTTTCTAGGGTTTATAATTGAAAACACTTGTTCCCATATAATTAAGATATAGGATGAATTTGATCTTGTTTCCCATATATAAGATGAAGCACATACCACTGATTTTCTGGGTGTGAGATTAATTTGAGAAACTTACTTTGATAATGATTGTAAACTCTAACTTTGGCCTAGTTAGAAACAACTGCTTGAGATGATTGTTAGATTGCAACTCAATTAATTCAAGCTGCAAATCTGACCTCACTGATTCACAATTTAAGTTGAAAGACATAGTAAAAATGTCCAATTCTGTTTGATTGGTACTGAAATCTTGAAATCTTCGTTCGAACTCAAAATGTAGTTTTTTTTCAAGCCATCTTCATAATTCTTAAGCTTCTATTAATTTACTGAGGGTATTGAATTTAGCGTCGGGAAATGAGACAAGTCGTTCTCAGCTAGCTGCTCAGCAAACAGATTAAGTTTTAAGTTAAGATTTTCTAAGAAATCTATTTCACCTATATTGGGTTCCCACATGTCTGCTTCCCAAGAAAGAGATAATGCTTGTTAGTGCCAATCTACAGATATAACTTACAAAGAGCTTTCACTTTTAACACTTTACTGATTGAAAGCTATCTGTGCTTGCTATTTCTGTCAATATATGTTTCGTAGAACAAAAATAGAGAAAGTAAAAAGATCATCAGTACTCTGAAAAAAAGGAAGGAAAAAATAATATTTAAGTAAAAAAGGAGATGGATATATAATATTCAAATATATGTTTCTTTTAATTTGCCTCGGTGTGCCAAATTAAAATTCTATCCGCGGGCCCATCTCTGGCATAGTTTATCCCTTAGTCCATCCCTGGTTTAGGTGATTCTGAGCATTGACATAAAATAACAGCAGCAAAAGCTGCAACCCAACCCTCAGCAGTTCTTTTAAAGTACATAGGAAAAAATGTTGGTGCTGAACTTAAGTTGAAAAGACATGTGTAAAAACCCATAATCTCTTAGTTAGAAGAGTTCGTTTAAATTTTTTGTAACCTTTCTGAAAGAAAAGTATTTCTAAAGAATATCATAAAAGTGTGAAAAAGGAGTAAACTTAACACTTTAAAAGGTGTCGGTATATAATATGTACCAGAAGTTAATGAGTTTTTTAACCTCCTAAAAATATAAATTTTTCTACATCAAAAGCAGTAATCTTGTGTTTCTAGTGCTTCCTTTTGATTCTAAATGGCGCCACTACTCTATGAATGCTCAATATTTCGCAATTATGAAATTAATGTACTCTGTTCAAAGGTATCATGTTTGAATATTCATAAATTCTGTGGTAGGGCAGGAAAAAATTCAAAATCTTCAAATATATGATGTACACATGCTGAACCTTATATATTTACTACATTTCAATCAAAACTGATAATTAAAAGATTATGCATATGATTTCAACATGTATATAAAATATACCAGTGTCGAGGCCAATAAATAGCAGCACCGGGCTTCTCCTTCTCTACTGTGTGTGGGTGACAGAATTTGTATGTATTATAATTGATTGTGACATAATATGATACAATTGTTTAGATTAATTTTATTAGTTGTTTAGGATTAAATATTTTATGTTCATGGGGAGTTTAATGACCATATGCTGGAAATGAATAAAAGCATTTTAATTCCTTTTTATACTTTGCTTATTCCAGTTAAGTTGTAATTCTTCTTTGTTTAGCTAAAATTTTAATTTCACCACTTCACCCTTTCCTTGAGAAAAACTCATTGATTTCAAAATTGCCGTCTTCCGTCAAACATTACACAATTGTAGGTGTTAAATGTGGCATGTTAGCCTCGAAAGACACCCATTGCTTTGTGTTTTTTAAAACCCTAGAATGCAGTGAAAGGGAAATGTGGTGATTGATGGCTAATTTGCCATATTAGTGGGATTTTGAAAAGCTCTTGCAAAAAGGAAGCTCACTCGCAAACACGGGGAATAGGAATGCAATTTATGTTTTCACTTGGAAATGGAATTGAAAATCTGCTGATCTGAAAGGATGTTTTTATTCTTTAGAGGATTGTCTTTGTTAATTTCAGGTGAGAGACTAGGGAACACAAGATAGGTTTTTCCTCTGGATAAGGATACAAGTAGGCAGTTTTCGAAATAAGTCTTAACAGTTGGTGAAAGGGGTAGGAATTTCTAAGGGCCAGTTTCTAGATGCAAAACATTTATCTTTAGAAGGAAAATATCCACTAGTTCCACAGAGCCCATCAAAAGTATGCAAAGATATACAGTCAAAAGTCTTTAATCCTGACTCGTCGGGACTTCAACGATTCCGGATTATAGATTATCAGTTTAAATCTGGTAAGATGGCATGCAGAAATTATAAAATTAAAAATATGAAACTGTAATTTATGAAATACAGAGCAATTATGATCTAAAGGGTATCAAAATTTACAAAAAAAAAAAAAAAAAAAAAAAAAAAAAAGCTTAATATTTATTTGTTTACTTTATTAAACATGTCTTTCAACGTGTGCATGCATAAAGCATACATTACGCATAGTCGAAACTAGAAAATTGCAACTATGAAACTATTTGATACGTATTCGTGATGTTTATAATGATGAGGAATTTGATTTAAATCATATCAAAGACGGAGTACATCGAAATGAAATACTATATTTAGTAAGGAATTATAAGCCAAATAAAATAAAAATCAGCCAAAATGGCCACAGCGGTAAAGGGACCTTACACAGTATTGATGAGTCCCATGGGAAACCATGATATTTCTCTGCCCAAACCTCGCTGTGTTTCACTTTCAGCAGCAGTCTGTATCGTACATTTAAGACAGTGTTCATCTGACATTAACTCATTCAGAAGTTTGAAACAGCATGAAGTAAGACATCTGACCAAATGACAGTCTTCCATCACTATCAGGCCAGGTTTTATGACTTGGCACACTTTCTCCTCTTCAGGCATTTTAATCACTGATGAGTGACTTTTGAAATTGCAGCTCACCCAAAAATACCTTGTTTATAGAGCTCCTTTCATAATAGTTTGGTGCTGTCGAGGTTTGCGAGTGCGACATTCAGTTCAGCAGTCACTTTTGCGGGTATAGTCCTCTTATTTTTCATCACGTTTCTCTTCAGTGATCGTTTGTCATAATTACTCAACACACATTTGCAACTGTTCTGTTTCTTAGCAGATGCGTTTTTTCGAACTTTCCTGTATGAGTTAAATATCTTAGGTACTGTGCATCTTGAAACACCAAGCACTTCAGCTATGTTGGTTACAGAAGCACCTGCTATACGAACTCCAAAAATTTGGCTACACTCGAGTTCATTTAGCTTTGACGTGATGCACTCACAACTGCAGAGAACGCTGTTTCGATAATGAATGACACTTGCAACATGTTAAATATGTTGTACACGTAGCATTAGGGAGCAAACACATCAATGCTACCTACAGCTTTTGCAAGAATAAACATTTCAGTTCAAATATGCATACGAGATGTTTTCATATTTTTGCCTAGCCCCTGCATTTATTATAATATGTAACATTTGTAAGACAAAGCCTACTTGTTAAAAAAACAAATTTAAAATTTTCATATAAAATATTTCATTATTTAGTCAAGTGAATCACCAGATGATATTTTATAAAGTGTGCCTTAGCATAGCTAATGGCTAGAGAAAAATGGAATTGATGATTTGATGACCATTCAAGATTTTCGAGTATTTATTATTTGATGGTTTTGAAGGCAAATCTCAAGAGTAGAGTTTTAAAGTAGCATTTTTTTTTTTTAAATTACAAAATATAGCAGCATGGTTTTGAATTAATTAGCAGCACATTTCTAATATAGTCATATATGTCGGGGGTCCAGTAAGTTTATAAATATTATAAAAATTCATACAAATTGAAGGAATTGGCTGAATTGAGTGCAGTTTTCGAAAACATTATTATTGTGAGGTATTTTTTTGGGGGGGGGGTAAAGGAAAAAAATCTGTTGATAGAGGGCACTGTATGGGAGTACATTTTAATTGTATTTATTTGCATGAAGGCAAATGTTTTTAAGCATATCGCCCTTATTATATGCGTCTTCCACAATCACAAATTAGAGTTTGCTAGTGAGTTACAACATT